TAAAATCTTAGTAATAGTAAAGTCAGTTGATAGTGATGGTGGTAACAAGAGTATTGTATCATGTTTCAAATACCAGCGAGAATGCACAAGAGCAAGTGGAATAGGTCCTGTCTGTGGAATTATATGACAGCATGGTAATTTATAATTTAATCTTAAACTACAATCACAAGGGCTATTATCTGTATTTTTATTCTCTCCTATTTCACATACTTTATTTTTGATTTTATCGATTGCCCATTTAGAAATTTTTCCAAGCAACAACTCAAATCTCATATTATTACATATAAATGGATTAGCAGAAACAATGTTCAAACCAAAGGTTCTATTTGTTCATAGCTGGCGCTGACAGAAGGCATGGTCAATATGTAAAAAGACTTGTTTCAAACCACTTGCTGCCTCGATTGCTTTTTTTAAAGTACTATGACTTCTTTCTGCTCACTGTGTCGACTGGATCCCCATATGCGGATAATTTTTAGTAAATACATGCATCCAACATTTGGCATCATTTTTCCATTCCTCAAAATAAGTTTGAATATATTTTGGGTCTCTACTTTTCATTGCTGCTTTATTAACCTCATTAAATGCCTTTTCAACCTCATTCATTTTCTCAGCATAAGCAACTTTTTGGATCGATAATAGAAGTTCATTGTAATTTTCATCAGAGTTAAAGAATTTTCTACATGCAGTTCGTAAGTTTTGCACAAGCATATACCATATGCATATCATTTTTTTTGCTTCCAGAAAAACCTTGTCTGCTGCTTTTCGAAAAGCTAAGGCTCTATCTGAAATAAATACCTCTGGAGAACAAGAAAAAAGATCATAGATCGTCTCTTTTAAAGTAAGTAAAAACCATTCGTATGTGGGTTCTTGCTCATTTAATACCCATGCCATTGCAATAGTATATGTATTAAGAGCTTTGGAGTCACCAACATTACTAACACCTACAGCATTTATAAGAGAAAGCTTATATATGTTGGTCTTATACGTTGCATCAACCATAAGCACCTCTGGGCATATTGCTACCTGACATGCTGCTTCATTATGTGTAAAAAATAAGTTTAACATGTGGCCATCTTTTGTTAATACATGATGAACTATATACTGACGTTCATCCAACATTTGTAGAAAGCGCACTGTAGTATCATGATTTGTACCCTCATTTAAAGTATTTTTTATTCGATCACGTTTATTCATTATATCTTTTGTATATATAGTGCCATTCTTCCAGTGTATTGCATCAGCAATTGACTGAGTTGATGCGCTACTCTTAAGCATAATATGAACCAACTCTTTTTGTTCTGTACTGAGGCTCCGATGTTGAGGAAGGCAATGAACTTGGGATGGAAGAAGTAGTTCATGATTATGCTCAGTTTTGGAAGATTTTATTACCCAAACTTTAGTATCCTCATTTAAGATAGCTTGTAACATGACAGAGCAATTTTGATACTTTGTGAGCTTCTTTCTTTTTCGAGTTTCTTCAGTGATGTTATGGTTATTTCTATATTTACTCTCCATTGTGCATTGCAATATAATATAAGGAGTGTGACCACCCTTTCCACCACTGGATACTTTTGATGATGATACGCTAAAAGCAAAACCTGCTGCCTTGGCACCTTCCTGCGCTGCTTCTTTAAAGCTTTCTACTGTTGGGAATTCATCGCCAACTTCTGGAATTTGTGGCTGTGGTTGCGACATTTATAAGATAAGTTCTTTTAAAAAAATTTGATCAGTTTATATGAAGAATTAAATAGTTAATACAACAGTATTTTTTTATTAAATGCTATTGAGAAATTTTCCTTTTATTACAAATTAACAACTTTTTATAAGTTATAGCCAGATGGTTTATAAAGTAACGCCGAATATAAAACTTGAAATGTTTAAAAGAAAACCAGTGAGGCAATAATACGTTTTCATTTTTCATTTTTTATAATATGATTATGAAACCAAACTAACAGCTTTTTTTTTTTTGCTCCAACTTTCCTTACAAGCACAATAATAGGACACAACCAACTGGATTTTTTTTTTTATTTCTTTGCAACTGCATATAATTAATCTTTTCTTGGTGATATTATATATTGGTAATGCGCACTCTTATGCAGGTTTCATAACGATCTTCAATTTAGGATGTTGATCATGATTTTTGAATTACAGTCTAATGAATAATTACAATTATTTAAGGTAATTTTTCCTTTTTTTTTTAAGCCGGTTTCTCTAGCATGATTACTGAAATCATTTATGCATTTAATGTTTAAAACTTAATGAAATATATATTTAAAATAGAATCATCCTGATTTATATTCAGAGCTAGATAATTTCAGGCAAGATTTTTTTATAACTTGTTTGATGTTTCTCGAAGACTATTTACTATACAAAATAAATACTAAAAAAATAAAAAAGATCTTTTATTGAGAATTGTTGATGTAACGTATTGAAAAGTAATTAATTTTTGAATTTTATGCGTGAATATAGTCTAAAATTTTGCAGAATTTGACCCAGCCGGGTATGAGAACCAATTTCTTAAGTTTGTATAGCCTTATGATATTTATATGTTCAATATAGCAATAATTATGTTATGTCTAAAGTTTCGTGATTTCCAAATGTCACATGATCATATCTGTCCCTAAGATCTGTCCGTAGATCCTCCGCTGGGGAAGATGCGGCTGTGGCGCTGATCATCTGACCGGACCGGACTTTTGGGGGTCGCCCTGGCGAACTCACAATTTCTCAACTTCAGATAATCCAAATACATCATGTACTAAGTTATGTTAAAATTACCCGCTAAAAACATTTTCAATTACACTCAAATTCAAACAATTACCATATATTTATTTAATTAAACAATCACTTAATATATTATAACAGATATAAACAAAAAAATATTAATCAAGTGACAATTCAACCTGAAAATCACGAGCGGGTGACGAAGTCACCCGCACATCTAACATTGCTAGTTTAATTATAAAAAATAAATTTCTAGCTATTTCGAACTGTTGCCATATTTTCAATTGATATTCCATTAATAAGAAAATTAACACTTTCTGTTTCATCATGATTTAATGAAATTCTTCTTATTGACCAATATTTCTTCCCGACATTTATAGCTATTCCTCCAATATTTACAACTGTTCCCTCGTTCTCATTGCGATCCCTATCATTTATAACTATTCCCTCACCCTCATTGCTATTCCCAACATTCACATCTATTCCCCCATCCTCATTGCTATTCCCAACATTATTTATAACTATTCCCTCACCCTCACTGCTATTCCCAACATCCAAAACTATTCCCCCATCCTCATTGCTATTCCCAACATTATTTATAACTATTCCCTCACCCTCACTGCTATTCCCAACATTCAAAACCATTCCCCCATCCTCATTGCTATTCCCAACATTATTCATAACTGTTTCCCCATCTTCATTGCTATTCTCATCATACTTATCGTATGATGTACGATAAATACGCCCAAGAATAAGCCCCAAAATTGGAATTGAAATAATGAAATAAACCCATTTAAAGATATAAAATATCCGACTTATCCAGCTTGTTTCTTCGATTTTTGGTATTAACAACATTAAAGGAAATTTATCAAGATAATGAAGCTTTTTGTCTTCTACTATGCTAGGAATAGTTATTGTAATTTGACACGTGTATATAAGTGCAAATAATATACTAATTGAAGGACATATAAAGAGCCATTTTATTAAAGTTCTATAATCATCATTATCATCATTTGCTGAACTTGCTGATGTAATATTTGCTGAACTTGTTGGTATAGAACTTGTTGAACTTGCTGAACTTGCTGATGTGATAATTATAGAATATATAAACACGTAAATCATGAGACATGAAAATATAATAATCCATATAGACACAAACATTGATGTAATTTTTACATTATTAACCAGATGTCTTATGTAATAATATTGTCTTCTATGATGTTTTTCATAGTTACTAATATTCCCAGTATTTCTTCTTTCAGAAATCCAATCTCTAGGATGCTCAGAAACATTCGATTCTTTATTATTTTCGTTCGTGTTATTAACAGTATCCGGCTCATTCCAAGTAAAAATATTCTTAACCGATAATAGCCCTCCCAAAAGAGATACAGTGCCCCCTAATCCAGAGATAACAACTGAAATAATTTTTTTACTGAATGACCCCATGAAATTGTCATCTGAAATTGAAAACACAATTCCAATCGTAATTGAGGTAATGCAAATAGCAATATAAATAATCAAATAGTTACGAAATGAAGACTGAAGTTTTTTCAAAGCATTATATGCTTTTTGTAACTGAGTATTGTAATGTGAGTTTAAATTTTCTTGATGAGATTCTCCGCTCATTTTTTAGAGAATTTTAAAAAAACTGAATTGTTTTGATGCTTCATGGACCATATTTAAATATCCGTATTCAAATATGCGTAGATTAAGGTTTGATAACAGCTAAAAATATATTGCATGCATAGTACGTACGTACGTACATACACTTCTAGAAATTATTTCTAGAACAGAATATGCATGTATGTACCTATATGCCGCCAAACCATAAATCTTATTAGGTTTCAAACATATTAAATCTTCAAAATTCCAAAATCTAAACATAGTAAATCAGTTTTAAATCCCAAATTTCAATAATTTCGCAAGTATACCCTCATAGGACAACTTTCTTCTGATTGTGATCTACAAAAACGGGATTTTCTCAAAATATTTGTCACGGATGATCGTGAAATCCGGATCATCGTGAAATTCCAATTTTTAAAATTTTTTTGAGGTACATTTTTTTAGGCTTTTTTTTTGAATCCGGACTAGTATTAGGGTTAGGGTTTATAATAAAAGAGTATAAGTAGGCTTTGTTAGGGTTGTGAGGACTTATATTTTTAAATTAAGGCCCTAGATTTCACGATGATCCGATTTCACCATAATCCGCGACAATATTTGATCAAATATCTTTAATTTCACATCCGGAACGTTACATAAATTACAATTTTACATTATACTAGCTCTTTAACCCTCGTGATACTTCTGGAAAAGATAAATTTATTAAAATTATAGAAAGTATATATATATATATAATATTAAAATTTGTCGAATACAAATGATTGGCAGACACGTGCCGCTTCGCGGCACGTGTCTGCCAATCAGAACCAGTTCCGTGAGTTTTTCTTTATTCGGACTGATCCGGATAAAAGCAATTGTTACACACGTTTGTATTTTAATCAGGGTATATTAATTAAATAAATTTAGTACGTATCCAAAATATATATATATATCGATATATATATATATATATCGAACATTCTTTTTGATCACATGAATTTTAAAAATAATCCGCATTCTGTTGCACAAGTTCTATATTTAAATGTGTAGACTTTCCCTTGGCGACAGTATTTTTTAATTAGGCAAATATCGAATATCAATAGTATGTACGTACATAGTAGGAGTATGATTAAATACTAGTATTTTCACGTACGTACGTACGTATCTCCCTTGATATGATGCTCAAAAAATTACAATCTTAAAACGTTGATCGTAATTGGTGCTTGAGTGAACACCTTTATCATTATTACCATTTATGATCATTACACATATTTTCACAAGATCGAAAAAAAAAAATGAAGTGATAATTTAGATAACAATTCTAAATAGGGATGGATCGGTCTTCGTGAAGATCGAGACCGGCGGTAAAAAACCGAAGATTCAATGATTCTTTGTCCTTGGTCCGTAATAGTCCGGTCCTGGTCTTGATTACGACCTGACGACAAATTATGCTTACTGATAAAAAAAATTGATAATGCATGTCAACAGATCGAAAAGACAGGGAGAATGGTCAGGGGTTACATGCCACGTGTTACAATCCTGACAACATGGGTCGGGATCGAAAGAAGACATGCGAATGAAATGACATAACAGAAGCCACCGATCACATTCAATATTAAAGGAAGCGACAAACGACTTACTTACGACACTCTTTCCCATTTCAACACAACTAAGCATTACAACCGTCTCATTTTTCTCAACCCAACCCTTCCTACCACACATGGTAGTCTCCTGATTCTGCCATTTTCCTATTTAACAGCCGGCCTGCTTCGAGCAGGCGGGAAACCACCGGCTGATGCTGCTTCTCACTCGTTCTACTGTTACGATGATACCTGGCGCAATCTCACTTGCTAATTTTTCCGGGAGCATATCGGCTCAAAATTACTCAGTTCAAATTATTCCGTTCAAATTACTCACACTGTATTCTGCGGAAGTCCTTTAATTGAATTTATTTCCGGCACCTTTGGCTGCCGGCATTCTTCCAAACACATGACAACTCGATTAATATAAGAAAATCTTTCCAATCATGAGCGATAACAAAAATTTTTTACCTTAGGAAGATTACCTTATTCTAAGCTTAATCATAAGAGATTATTTGAATATACAAGCTACCAGTGTAGCTTCGGAACAAGCATTCTCCATAGCAGGTCTCACTATCTCAACAAGAAATAGATTAGAAGACGAATCTTAAGTTGTAGTATATCGGTATGTGCTTGAGGTTGCCTTGAGGTTGCCTTGAGATATAAATATTTTAAATTGGAACATCTCAAATTTATCTGTTTATTTAATTGACCCGTTTGATCCGGGTCAAGACAATTTTTGACCCATGACCGTCAAGATGCTGACTCATACTGGTCAACCTGACCCGGGTAACAGCTCTACTTAAGTTAACTACTTTTTTAATAATTAAAATTTACTCTCCAATCAATTGAATAAGGTGCTTGAGAACACCCTTTATTGCATATAAACAATTACTTGCGTTGAACTAAAGAAATGAATGAAACAAATACTTTATATTTAAACAATCAAATTAATATCATCTAATAGTATTTTTGTGGTCTTTTTCATATCAATTGAAGATTTACCGGCAATGATTTTTACGCTTATACAATGATTCGTGAGTATACATTTTGATTTCATGCACACCTAATGGTCCCAATTTGTATGCCACTTTTGTACTAAAAAATAGCATTTACTGTAAAATTGTTGATTATTAATTTTTAGTTCAGCAAGTTTAGCGAGTTCAGCTATAAAAGTAAAAAAGATTTTTTTGGATTGATTTTTCTTAACCGATCAATGCCTTTTCTTTCTTATTTGACTCTTTAATTGTGTATAAGATAATTATTGTAAGATTTTATTAGACTTAAAATTCAAATTTGGTTCTACATTCTCAAAAGTATATTTTCTAAAGTTCTTAAAAAAATTTAATGTTTTTTTTTACACAAGAAAATTAAATTCTTTAATATTAAAAGAATTTGTTGATGTTCTCAAATAGAAACCATATTTTAATAATTTATGTTCTCAAAAATTATGTAGTGAACACTTACAGTAATATCGAATTTTTTTAAACACTGATTATACATCGGTTTGTATTACTAACGCTAAGTCAAGCTAAATGCACCACATGACAGTTATTAATGCATTTCAATCTGGTGCCTAAGTTTTTCTTCTGATATGATACAAAACAAATATAAAAGAACAGTGCTACAGACACGTAAAAGGTTTTTTTTTTAATATATAAAAGCTATATACCTTGAAGCTCTTAAATTTCAAGAACAAACTTAAATAAAGAAACCATTTCTACCTTTATATTGTATTTATTTACTTATAGAAAATTCTTAACAGATTGAAAAGTATTACGATTTGAACGCTGTCAATCTATGCTCAATATGTAGTATATACCAATCAACTGAAAAGAAAGATACTATGAAAGCTTCGAATTGCGGAATTTAAAAATTTAAAAAAATGTCAGATTTTTTTATTTCTTTATTTTTTTAATATTGATATAAGATTTTAATTTTTAATTATAGTTATATATTTATTAATCATTTTAAATTTGTTTTATAATACATTTAAAAAAAGCTCTAATTTGTAACAACTATTAATAATAAATTAACGGTTTTATTTTGGGTTGAAAATAAAGATAACAAAACTCTAACACAGCAAAAACTATGAAAATAAATAATATGGTATATTTGAGTACAAAAAAAAAAAAAAGTAATCAAAGGGAAGTAAGACGAAATTACACATTTAATTTTAAGTTACTTATGTAAAAAATTAAGCTTTTTTAATCTCTGCCTTACCGCCTTCAACGTACTGCCTCCTCTTAACCAAAAGATATTTACCGATAATATCTTTAATAGTCAAACCGCTAATATCACATTCAAACGGTGCTGTGCCTGGAACATTGATTTGAAGTTTATTTTTAATATCATCTGTCACGTCCATAATTACTTTATCTTCTTTGTCAATAATCTCAAATTGATAATTATCAGGGTGTCCATTTGGAAATCCAGTATTAAATTGTCCTGTCATTCTGACTTTACTATCGGATATTTCAGTGAAATGAACTTCACCGGTAACTGTGTTTACGTTATTTACATCAGGAAAAGAGGCACTCGCAGTGTCCCCAGTATTACGTTTTGTCGGATTCGGATATGGACTTACAGAGATTATGGTAAGGAAAATGAAAAAAGAGATGAACCAAAATTTTACAGATATCATTTTTTTAAAGTTTGTGGTTAGATATTAATAATTTCTTTTTAGATGATAAAAATATCCTTTTTCAAATCGAATCGAATTATTGTCGAAATTAAATTTATGTACAAAATACAAATCAGAAATCAGAAATGAATCAAAATTAAATTGGGTCTGATATGTCTTTATATGCTGTTCTTTCTTCAACAAAATACAAGTAAACTTGCCGATCCAAACCTGGCTTGTCTACTTTCGATTGACTCTAAGCAAAAATCCTAATAGCTTTGGGATCTTTAAAAAAGGAAAACTGCTACGAAAAAAAATATTTTATTTTTGTTTTTAAAGTTGATATCCGAATTCTTTGCAAATCTTTCTTTTTCATTTTAAATAATATTCTTTTTTGTATAATAAGCCACCATTGAAAAAACTCGTTTCTCTTGTCCCAAAGCCTCGATAATATTTTATCTGAATAATTCGTCTCGATTTTAGTCTAAGTCACGATCGTCAGATCTTCATTTTAAGCCATGATTGATCGCGGCTACCAGAAGATAGATTTGAAAAAAAGCCATTTTCATTAAAAGGCCGAAAGGCCGCTTATATGTATTGAAAAATAAGCCATTATACACAAGTCGATCTTTTGCTTACAATTTTTGCAGATGAAAAATTTGATACGTACGATCGCGAGATTTATTATACGCGCTTAAATTTGATACGCGTATATATTGAAACACAGCCTTAATTAATTTCCTTGATTATTATTATTAATTTATTAAAAATATTATTATTAATATTAATAATATTATTATTAATATTATTAATATTAATAATAATATTAATAATTTATTAATAATTTTTTATTATTATTATTGTTATTGTTATTTTAAATCAGTGTAAACAGTTTAGTATCAAACAATATAACAAATATCAAATGGTATTACAGATAATAAATCTATTTAACTAAATAAACAAAAGTTCTAGTGCCAGGCTTCCATAGTGATTTTAAAATATAAGACAACAGCTTGCTATTGAAGTTCTCGTATAAGTGCAATAATAACATACTAGATGTTATAAAATTTAAAAATTTTAAACTTTTAAATTTATTTTTGTTGTGACTCGAGGTTTTTTCTCTGAAATATATAGTTGTATATATTAAGTAATGTATTTAAATAATTTTTTTTTTTAAAAAAAAAATTTTAAAAGATTGCAATTTTATATGTAGTAAGTTAAAAAACTTGTTAAAATGTTTTAGATATAAACTTGTTTATTTTATATTAGTTATAAAGTATATTTATATAGAGGTTTAAAATACTATATTTATAATAATTGGTTCTCGTAACCCGGCCGGGTCAAATTTTGAAATTTTCGTAATAATTTTTTATATGCTTTACAGCTATTATCATAATTCCTGGAACACCTGATAAAAATCAGCCGAGTGATATTTCGGCCGATTCGGTTAAGTTTGAAATCTTGCCATAATAGATAAACAAAATTGTACGTACGTACGTAACTTTTAAATTGGGTAAAATTCACCACCCAACTTTTTCTCAGATTACATGATATGATCGTTTAAAGCGAAGCGTAGCGGAGATGCTAATTTAATTATTGCTGTATTCATACATATTTCGAATAAATAATTTCACATGATCTGAAAAAAATCTGGGTGGTGAATTTTACCCAACTTAACTTTTACATTAACAGTTAAATAGTGTAATGGCACAAAAGTTTTACCAGCATTACTAGACTTTATGTGCCAGCTCTACGAAAGTTTTGGCCAACATTATTCACTTAACAAAAATTATATGTAATAATTTTGACATCAGAAACTTATACAAACTTATGCAAAATTATCTATATATGAAGATATATAATACTTGATCTACAGATAATTCATCATTACAAATATCGACAAGTTCAATATTATTAAAATTTTCGGTTGAATATTTGGTTTGTTTAGTTTGTGCAAAAAACTTATGGAAAAGGATAAATATCGACAAGAAATATAAAAAGGCTCCATATAAAATAGACTTTTATAATAAATATAGAGTGTTGCTATTTCCACCCCCATTTTTGCTATTGCCACCCCTCAAAATGAAAAAATACATCGAAAAAAATGCATTATTATTAAGTAAATCCTTATTTTGATATTAATTAAAGTTGTTCATCGGATTTTTCTGGTTCTAATGGTAGTAAAATCATTAAAATCTGACTGGTGGTTCTTTTTTAAAAGTGAATTAATGATAGAAAATTTAGATACAAATATTTTAAGAACCACTGGCCCAATTTTAATGATTTTACTACCCTTAGAACCGGAAAGAGTTGACGAACAACTTTAATTAATATCAAAAGGAGGTTTACTTAATAATAATACCTTTTTTCGAAGCATTTTTTCATTTTGGGTGGCAATAGCAAAAATGGGGGTGGAAATAGCAATTCTCTATTTTATATATAAGCAATTAAAAAATATATATTTTTTTAGCTTAGTTTTAATATTTTTGTATATAGTTTGTATATAGTATTGTTTAAATATTACTATAGTTTGAATTTGTTCATGCTCAAACCCAAATTTATTTTAAAAATTTTATTAAGAATTTTTGTTTAAACAAATAGTATATATTCTAGTGATTTTAAATAATATATTTGCAAAATATTAAGGTTACTTGTTTAATTTATTTTTTATAAATATTGATTGTTTTTTTTTTGAAATTTGGGATTTGTTTAGATTTTGCTAGCAAGTATACTTCCAAGACAACATTTATATCTTAAACAGGAATAGAAATTTTGTAGTTATTTACTATTTTTTCAAATAATCTAGATCATTTGGTATATGAAACTTATATTAAAATTATTATGTAATTAGATTATTTCAAAAATTATTTAAAGTTATTTACCAATCTTGATTCTAAGAGTGCATTATAAAAAATACTAATGATATCGAAATCATGACTTATAGAATTTAGCCAAATAATTAATAGTACCAGAATTTATGAAAACAACTATAATAGAGACTTAAATAATATTTGAGAAATTTTACTTCAGGCTTTGCTTGAAAGAATTATTGCTATATATAGCTATGCTAATTATTTGATTATTGTTAAATATTTTAATTATAGTTAATTCAGTCCATCTAAAATGAAGTTTATAAGATAAATTAGAATAGTATTTAAAAGATGTTTTGAATAATCCAGATCCAACAGATTTAAATTATTATTATAAAATTAGTTTGGGCTAAAAGTTTCAGATTTTCATGTTTAAGCCTAATTTTGAGATTTGAGTTTAGTTTTTTCTTTTACATTGCATTAATATATAAATGCTGCCAAAAGAAAACCTGTTATCAGACTTTCAATTATATTTTGTATATAGTTAGCTGTCCATGGAATATCTAGATTTTTCCATAGACAGCTACTGTAACTGTACACAAAATATAATTGAAAGTCCAATAACAGGTTTTCTTTTGGTAGCACTCATAAATTCTAAGCCGACCATATGTTATAGCTATTATCATAATTCCTGAAACACCTGTAAAAATTTGCCAAATGGTTTTTTAACTAATCCAGTTAAGTTATTGATTTGGCATGATCCATATAATAAAATAAGCTATTTTTATATCATATAATGATTGGCATAACAATAATGTCAACAATTTTAAATTTTTATTCGAATGCTTATTCAAAAATGTTTGGTGTGCTTTAGTTTGTATAAAAATTTATAGAATAAATTGGTCATGTCAACCAATAAACCTTAACAAGAAGGAATCAAATATAAATTAGACTTTTAATAACAAATATATTACTCGAACAGCTACTATTATTAAAAAAGTTAAATATGATCGACTGGTTTAAAAATGAATCTTGAGTTAAGATTCCAAGCAACCAAGATATTATTAATATTTGTTAAGAATGCATAAAAGATTATGATAAACGGAATCTAAGTAAAAATTTTTATATGTTTATATTTGTTTATATATTTTTTGTCTTCAACAAGAAACAAAAAATAATTAGAATAAATAAATGCTTTCGTTTGAAAGAAAATGTATCTTGCCAAAGAATAGAGATCGAAATTTAGTTTAATTTTTTAAAAATGAATTTTTCATCTTCAACAAGAAATAAAAAATGAATTTTTCATCTTCAACAAGAAATAAAAAATAATTAGAAATTAATAAATGCTTTTGTTTGAACGAAATGGATCTTGCCAATGAATAGGAATTGAAGTTTTATACAATTTTTAAAAAATAATTTTCGTCACAAAATAATTAGAAATGAATAAAGGCTTTCTTCGTTGAATAAAATTGGATAATAGGAATTGAAATTTTATACAATTTTTTTAAAAATGAATTTTCATCGAAAAATAATTAGAAATGAATAAAGGCTTTATTTGAGCGAAAACGGATTTTGCCAAAGAATAGGGATTGAATTTTACACAATTTTTAAAAACAAATTTTCATTGAAAAATAATTAGATCTTGCCAAAAAAAATTTCTACAATTTTTTAAACCCGAATTTTTCGTTGAAAAATAATTAGGCAAAAATGGATCAAGAGTAAGATTGAAATTTTACGACTAACAAGTAATATTGTAATATATATTGGTCACCTGATCTTATTAAATTACGTATTTGATATATTTGTTACTGAATCTTATTATTCATAACTTAACCGGATCGGCCGGAAAATTTTTACAGGTGTACCAGGAATTATGATAATAGCCGTAAAATATTTAGCTATTAAATACTTCGGATTGGCTCCGGATTCAAACCGAAATTTCGGATTCAGTCGGTTTCGGTTCAATCCCGGATCAAACCGAGTTTTTAAGCCGAATCGGAACACTGATCATATTGATTGCAATTCAAAATCAGATGTATTTAATAAGCTCCTTAAGGGATATATCATTAACATCACTAAATCATCATTAATATTAACCATCAACTCATGGAAATTAAAGTTTAATTATAGAAGCGGTTAATTAAATGCATCTTTAAGGTTTATTTTTCATTTATATGCAAAGAATGACATAAATTTTTAAAAACGTTAAATAAATGCTTTATTAGTGATGTGGGTTTTACGGATATGAAAAATATAGGTTTATTTTTTCTTTTTTAAGGAATTGAGATATTGGACTATACATACATTGACGAGATGGATGAATCAACATAATTTGGATAGTAAAAGGCCCGAGCGTGATAAAATTAAAGATAAAATTAAAGAGATGATATTAAAGATATCATAAGATAGAAAATTCATTGCATTTCCAAAGTCTTAACGAATTTATGAATTATTACGAAGGAGATTGTAAAATTAAGAAATGTTCGTAAAGATATCAATTTCGAGGGGTAAAAAAGATAATAAGACCTGGCTATCTTTGTTAATTGCTTTTCATGAATAAAAAGGACACAAAACAGCCTGAGACGCATTTCACTAATCCATCAAGAAAACCGATTATTTAGTTTCTATCTTTTAAATATATTAAACAAAATTGAAATGAAGCTAACTAAATACAAATCAATACCTTCAATTACATTTAGTATATTTTATATTGCCCTTAGTCTTTCCAATGTTTCCGCTAGTCCCTTGTCAATTTCACATTCTAAACGCGATGGTGAGAGTACTATCTCATACAATGGCGGCGAACAATGTGGTTCACATTGTAGCTTAAAACCACATGATGGAACTGAACTATTCGGTACCGCCAAGACATTCGATGGTTCCAAAGCACACAAAGAACCAGAAGTACCCGAAGAACCAAAAGCTCCTGAAGAGCCAATAGCTCCTGAAGGGCCAATAGCTCCTGAAGGACCAATAGCTCCTGAAGGACCAATAGCTCCTGAAGGACCAATAGCTCCCGAAGGACCAAAAGCTCCCGGAGAACCTAAAGAACCAGGAGCATGCGGAGCACCCGGAGGACCTAAAGAACCAGGAGCATGCGGAGAACCAAAAGCACCCGGAGGACCTAAAGGGCCAGGAACATCCGAAGAACCAGAAGCACCCGGAGGACCTAAAGAACCAGGAGCATGCGGAGAACCAAAAGCACCCGGAGGACCAGGAGCATGCGAAAAGCCAAAAGCACCCGGAGGACCTAAAGAACCAGGAGCATGTGGAGAACCAAAAGCACCCGGAGGACCAGGAGCATGCGAAAAACCAAAAGCACCCGGAGAACCAGGAGCATCTGAAGAACCAATAGCTCTCGAAGAACCTAAAGGACCAGGCGCATACGAAGAGCCAAAAGCACCCCGAGGACCTAAAGGACCAGGAACATCCGAAGAACCAAAAGCGCCCGGTGAACCTGAAGGACCAGGAGCATCCGAAGAACCAAAAGCACCTAAAGAACCAGGAGCATGCGGAGAACCAAAAGCACCCGGAGGACCAGGAGCATGCGAAAAACCAAAAGCACCCGGAGAACCAGGAGCATCTGAAGA